TCTATCTATCTATCTATCTATCTATCTATCTATCTATCTATCTATCTATCTATCTGTCTACCTTACAATAATACCAGCTGCGTACAAGCTCGGTTGCTCTAATGTACGAGGGCTGTCCCAGGATTATTTTAAAAACATTTTAATGAAAAGTTTTGTCGTGATTGCGATACAACTTACACGTTCAGTTGGGCTTAAGATCCCTTTTATTTCCCTACATAATTCCCAGTGAACAAGAATTTTTCCACTCGCTAAACGAGTAACTGTATGCCATCCCTGAAGAATTGTATGTAAAGGGATAGATGCCAATCTCTGAGTTTTCTATAAGGTATGCGTCACCAATGGCTTTCTCCCAGGCAAGACAGGCCTGTCGCTTCCTTGGTCCAAACAGATGGAAGTCTGAAGTGGGAACATCAGGAATATGATCCAAAAAGCTTTTATTTAGGTTTATGGAAGTCACCAGCAGGTCAAGAGTCCCATGTTGTCTTGTGCACTATGGCTGTGTCTTTCTGACAATGCCGTGCAGAAACTTCGGCGTGTTATGCCTTTTGGTCATCTGTCTACTGTTTTGGAATCCACTGAGCTGACACTCTTCTGTATTCTAATTCATCAAATATTAGTCTGTGAACTGTTGACTTCGAAAGCTCTAAGGCATCAGCAATGTCCCGAAGTTTGAACCTCCTGTTGTCACGAATTAGTTTTTTTCAGCGCGTTTAGCATTTTTTTCTATGTCCGTAGATTGATAAACGTCTCTGATTTTTTTCATCTTGTAGATTAGAAAGCCCCTCTTTGAATACATTGCACAAACAGTAGATCCTTGAAAAGCTAAAAACGTTTTTATGTTCTACCTAAATTTCATTGTGATGTTTCCCTTCTGCGTGAAAAAAACAACCAAATTACGGTACGGCTCAAAGCTCTTTTGGTTAAAAACAATTTTGTAAGTGATTGCAATCGTTGTTGTGATGTAGTGGAATAGGTTGCACCCATTTTATCCATTTTAATGTTGCACCAAAATCGAGCATTCTCTAAACTACTACTACTAAAACCTTTTATACGGAATTGAATTTAAAAAATTAGATAGTTATTTATAAGTGGCCATTTTCCCTTTTACTTCTGGGACAGCTCTCGTACAAATGAAGGTTCTCGAGTGGGTTTTAATTTTGAACAAATTGAAAACGTGAATATTGTTAACTATATTTTTTCTGAGTGAAAAGTGGGGTGTTAGG